TATTTTTATATATTTTTTTAATTTACCTATTTTTTTATTTATTAATTTTTTATTTGTTTTTATTTTTATTTATTTAATGGAACTTTAAGTGGGGACCAAACTGTCGGGATGTCGTTTTTGTTAGTTCACTACTCATATTTTTCATGTCAGTCAAGCTAATAAGTTTTCTTCAAAATTTATTTTACCATATAAATTCATATAATATATTGAAAATTTCTAAATTAAAATTGTTATAACTTAATAAAACAAAAAAATAATTTTTCGTAAAAGAAATTTATAATTTTTTGAGTAAATAATAAAAAGAAACTACAAAATCATTGAATTTTCAGTTCGATATGATTTTTCCAAGCCATATATATCTCCTTAATTTCTAACCACCCTATCTCTGTCAGTTTTAATAATATCAAAAATGTCCAATATCATTTTTATGTAAAACTTTATGCTTCACAATTTTTATTAAGAACTTTTTCTTATAGCACCTACCGTTTTTAAATAACCTTAAAAAACACTTTATTTTTTGTTTTTTGACATTTGCCGGTGCCCGAAAAACAAAATTTTTTTACATATCGTTTTCAAATACTCTAAAGTGACTTATATCAAAAATTCCTGTATTTCCTCCAAAATTTTGATTTTAAGGTCTATTTGATTGGACTATAAAAATACTATACAAATGACTACAGCTCTCCATAAAAAATTGAGGGAACAGGGGCGGCCCTAAAAAAAAAACGTCATTTATGGTAGGGTAAGGGTGATTTTTACCCTTCCATGATTTCAGTTGGTGTAATTTTTGTTTTGAACAATGACTCTTAATTAAAATAGCTACATACCAAATTTTATAAAAATCCAAACGAAGCGTTTTTGAGTTATTAGCTTCCTCACAGGCAAACGAAACACTTTGTGATATATGTAATTATGGCTCAATCGACTTTTATTTTGATCTCACCAATATACAGTAGCTCTATGTACAATGAATTTTGGATTGATCTCACCAATATACAGTAGCTCTATGTACAATGAATTTTGGAATATCCTGTATATATTTTTTTAGACAGGACTTTTTTCTGTAAAATTACTACTAAAAAAATGTTTAGCATGCTGTTAATTTAAGTAGACATACTGTATTATAGATGTACATGTTTTCTCATTTATTTCTTATCGTTATTTTTTATATACAGGGTGTTATTGAAATATATTGTTATGAACTCTTTAAAGAAAAGATCATAGCACAAAGAAACGCCAAGTAGATTTTTTTTTTATTAATATGGGCTTGAGATCACCAATATCTAGAAAGGTTTTTAGTTTTTATCTAAAAATATAAATACAAGATTGCAATTTGCAATACTAGTAAAACTGAGTAACACACACTATATAAACAAGAAATGTTTCTTTTTTGATGATCCGAAAATTAAATTAATGAATACACAAATAAATATCAATTATAAGAACTACTGTAACAAGTCCTTTCCCTTTTCGGAAGATCTTGGACAGAGTGGTGTCTGGGTCGACTCCTCTTTTCAATTATCTACTGGCGGCTGGCACATTTCAGTCGTAGGACGTCTTATCAGTTTGTTTGTTATTTTCTCACTGGTTTCGTTTAAATAAAACTACCAAAAATTACCTTTGTAGTTTATTCCAGAACATTAAATAGGAAATTGTACAGCTCCTTCTAAATCAGTTTATTCTTGGGCACTAATATAATTCTAAATACAATTCAAACAACTGTCCCTACTCTTTAAAAAATTCCTCTATCTCTTCTAAAACCAAAAACTTAATCAAAAACCAAAAATAAAAATCCTTGCCATGATCTTAGTTTCAGCTTGACAAGTTCTCTTCAACACTCAGATGACGATCTTGTCCGTGTGACATGCACTTAAGCCACATTCACAATGTCTATTGTATAAAACTACTGGCCTCTAGCTAAACCAGTACAATACTTTTATATTAAAAGTGACGAGAGTGTATGTTGTCCGAAAACGAATTGTTCTAATTTTAGCATTAAATTCTAAAATTTAAGAATGGACTATAACAGTCAAATTTTACTACTTATAAAGTTCTTTAGCAAAATATTGCCATTCAGATATCACTGGAGGCCGAAGAAATAATTGTTAAAGTTGAAAATTTTATGTCCCCTATGTCCTGTGACGTGTATCAATGAATTCGGAAAATTTAAATTTTGTTGCCAAATGTCAACTTTTATTTTTTTTATTGGTCCCATCTCTGTTTGTATTATAGGAAGAGTGAAATAGAAACATAATTAGGTGTGTGTTCTTTTTTTTTTAACAATTCTGGACAATGCATTAAGTGGCGTTGCAACAAAATAAAAAGGGTAGCGTCGATTAAAACTGATACCTAGTGATACCTATAATAAAAATTCCAAGTTTTCTTTTTTACTTCGACAGGCAGTAAAATTGGTCACAAACCTAAACCGCTTGATTTCATTTAGGCGGTACCCCGCGCATTTAATATAATTACAACATCATTATATTCCCTAATAAACTAAATGTTAGAAACTTCATATATATGTGTGAAACTAAAATTAATTTATACAATTCTTTATTATATTTATTGCATTTGTACTAGACTTTTTTTATTGTCTGTAGAATTATCAAAAAGTATGTAATCTTTATTCAGTAATGAATTCAATCTTTATTTATTGGACCTTCTCTAATACGTGCTAAATGCTAAGAACAGCAAGAGCTGAATAAAAGCACACGGCTAAAAGTGGATACAATTTTATACAAAAAAGACCTATTTATATAAATCCTCAGGGTTAGTTCTAGAATGTCACGAAGCTTTGGCCTTAAGATGGATCGAAGGTCACGCCACATCAAAAGATAACCGTCTTGCTGATTCACTAGCCAAGAAAACAGCCAACCAAATACTTTTTGGACCTGGCCCTTCTATTGGCCCAACAAAATCGGTAGTGACAGACCTAATTAAAGAACATTCCCTTGTGAACTTTAAGGAAAGATGGGGTGAAACAAAAATCTGCAGAGTTGCCAGGGAGCTCTTAAGTTATCCTGACAACACTGCAGCAAACAAATACTTGACTATGACTAGACAGAATCTGCACCTAGTCACAAGCATCTCCATATCATGGGACTGTCAGAATCCGCACTCTGCAGTGGGTGCGAACAAGAAGACGAGACCATCGAGCATATCCTTTGCGATTGCTCGAGGCTCTTATTTATTAGAAGATTTGTGTTCGGCGAGTATCGGCTAACACCGGCCGATATAAGAGAAGCACCTTTTGGCGACGTTGTCAACTACATTAAATCTGTAGGCTGGCTTACGAGCTAGGAGATGTCTATCATCTTAGAAGGATGCACAATGGGCATAGTGAGGCCTAAGTGCCGTGGGGGGGCAACTCTCTCTCCACACGTTACAGATACAGAGAGATATAAATCCTGAAGCACATTTTAAATATTTTAGTTATTCCATCATGGCTAGCACTTGGATAACCCACATTTATAATTTTCATGTTTGAATTATCTAGAACTGTTATGAAATTAAAAATGTGTTTTATTCATTATCAGTAAATATTCATCAACTAAACATTCAATGAATGGTAATACATAATGGAGTTCCCATTAGCTGCTGAATGAACTAGAGCTATTTAAGTGCAGTCAGTCTATACCTAATCCAGGAAATCTAAAATTGCTGAAAAAAAAAAATACAAACAATTAGATGAGTAGAGTCCAATTACAATTAGAAGAACACAGCTATATCATCATTTGGCAAAGTGATTAATTGGTAGAGTGGAGTGTTAATATTATAGGTACACAAGAAATATTGTTTTATACCTAACAACTTATTTTTTATTTATTGATATTTATAGATAATATTGTATTCGAAACTCGAAGTAATGATTATGACGTAGCGGTGTTCTTCTAATTGTAATCGGACCTTACCTCTCTTTGGTCCTTTTTCGACTTCACAGATTGTTGCTGGAGATTTAAATTAACCGATTTTTAATCATTTCGTTCTTTATGGTACTTGAGACTTTTCAACACAAAGACATAGAATACTGACTGAGAGTCCCAAAAATACACTTGCTGTAAATATTTAAAATATTCACAATGTTATTGTTTTTACATCCCTTTGTTTATCAAGATCATTTTGTATAGTTTGATGTGCTTTTAAAAATGGATATATCATCTTAAATATCTCACTGATTGGTTTATGAGCTGAAAATATTTTGTAAACAATTTATCGGTTAGGGTGTGGATAGAATTCAACCTCTCATAATTTCAACAATATTTGGAAACATGGCGGAGGATGGTATTTGTTGACAGCTCAATTATGACTAAATCGAAGTCTGTGACTTCAAAATTTAATTATTACTTTAATTATAGTTCAATACGTAAATAATAGGCAGTAATTGAATATCAGAAATGTGGAAAGAATGCTGACAAAGCTGCCATATATGCAATATATGCCTGTTGCAGAAAAAATCTTGTCCCCATAGCCTCCGAAAATTTCTCCAAACTTTAGCACTTTGATAAATATGTTCTTCACACATCAAATCACTATTATTTCCGTACTAAACTATAGGTGTATTTTTTTTTTTTTTTAATAAAATATTAGCTCATAGAGAATTCAAATAGTATTGTTTTGATATGTAAATAGGTAAGGAATTTTTAACAAGGTAAGTATACCTTACGAGTTGAATAAGGTATAATAGGAACATCCACATATCAGACAGAGACTCCTGTCGCTTGTCGCACATAAATCTGTGTCTGATGTATATAGTGGGGGAGCAATCATTGAAGTCTTATCGATGCTTGCTACCCTGTGCTATGTGCCTATTAAACTTGATTTAACTCATTGAAAGATATACACTAGGTGTGTTGAAAATTCCATCCGAATTTCAGTAAGACTATTTGTTTTGTACCTGATGTTTTGTATTTGTTGATTTTATAGCTAAAAAATAAAGTTTTTCATTTAAAAATAACTAATTAAAAATAAAATAAAAAACTATAAATGTTATCTTAATCTAGCTATACTCCCAAGAGATGGCCTCTATGCCCTCAAAAACTCCGGTGAGTGTTCTGCAAGAGCTTTTGAGTCGTAGAGGAATCACTCCTAAGTATGAACTTGTTCAAATCGAAGGAGCCATTCATGAACCAATATTCCGCTACCGTGTGTTTCTCAGTAATGAACTTGTTGCTACTGGTACTGGAAGGTCTAAAAAAGACGCCAAACATGCTGCAGCTAAAAACCTCTTGGATCTATTGGTTGGAAAAATTACCAGTGAGCAAGCAAACCAAACTAATGGAACGCCAGGAGCTGCTGATATGTAAGTAAGAAAATATGTAAAGTGAACATTATTGAATTGACAATAATTTGCAATGGCGCTAATTAGACATAAAAAATTGTTATGCTCATTAGGTATGTCTATGATAATTCAATAAAGTTAAAAAGGTTTAAATAAGAAAAAAATTTACCAAAGGGACGATTAAGGTAGAAACATCCCGATTAAGGTAGAAACATCCAGATTTGATGTTTAATGAGTTCTAACTCAGTTTGTAATATTTAATAAATATTATATTATTTAAGTTACACTTAAGGTTATTAAGCATACACTAACACTAAAATAGTACACTTCATTGATAAAGATCATACATAATTATTATAAATGTCTAAACTGTCTTCTCCGTTCTCTTCAATATAAGTTTGAAACTACTTTAAGAGTCTTGTACACGATGCTCGATCATATTAGCAGTAATATTATGGCAAGCTTGTCTTATTTTATTTTTAAGATCATTCAAATCTAATGGTTGGTTTGTATAAACCATATTTTTGAGACCGTCCCGTAAAAATAATCTAGAGGGGTCAAATCGGGGAAATGCGCTGTCCACGTTATAAGTCCCATTTTTATGTTTCCAATCCATTTATTGAGAAATCTCATATCCAGAGCATTTTACTATGGTTATTTAAAATCCAACTGTGAAATAATCTTATGCGGGATCGTTTAAACAATAAACTTATCAAATACCAATATGACACCCATTCAGATTAAGAGTCTACTATACTCCTTTATTTTTATTATTTGTGTTAGTATGTTTATGATTAAGGATTAAATTGAACCTGTACGATGTAATGGGGCCATTTATACTCGATATATGATTATTATTTTTAGTAGTATGCTTAATAATTGATCAGTTCAACTTTTATGTAATCTTAAATTAAATTGTTATCAGTATGAATGAGGTATTTCGCTTTCGTTTCAAATAGGCAATAGTCAGGACACTGAAAATCTTATTGGGCATTCCAAAACACCTGTTCTTTGATAATTAAAATAATTATTATAAATAGGGTATTTTTTAATAATCAGCTACTTGATTAATTATCAATAGATTTTATTGTTTCTTCCAATTTATAATGACACTATCTCGTTCTCATCCCCCTCTATCTTCGCGTGAACTGGTTAATCTCCCAAGAGAATTAGGCCACGGATCATCCTGTATCTGATTTTTGATTTTTTTTTGATCAATTTCATTATTATGTTTGATTCATTTCAACAATAAACCTATTTCTATAGCAATAAAACAATTAGATTATTAGAGGAAACACAATTCCGGCCATTTATTGATATTTAGTTTTATTTATATTTAGTTTTAAATTCAATTTAATTTTATTTAAAATCGTAATTCTTTTACAGTTTTTATCTGTTGGTATTTTTATTTCTTGGTATTTTTATCTCTTCATTTATAAAATGTAAATCAAACAAAAACTGTCAAAACATCAATCATAATATGACAACATAACCTTAGACGATAATGAACAAGGAAAAATACATAAATACTGGATCACAACCGCTTATTTGAAAAATTTGATTTTAGCACCAACCAGGTAGTGTCTCCATATGATGATAAAGTTATGGGTAACCCTATTGGCTGGCTCCAAGAGATGTGCATGTCAAGACGCTGGCCGCCACCATCTTATGAAATGGAGCATGAAGAGGGTCTACCCCATGAGAGGCAGTTCACTATTGCTTGTCAGGTAAGTCCTCAAGAAATAAATATGTTTATTTCATCTTTTTAACTATGTGTAATTTAATTATTTTGCTTTATTTTATGGACTTTCAAAATCACAGAATAAATATAAAATGGATGTATTTCATGCATGCATGGAAAGGCTCTGTGGAGGAACTTGTTTGCGTTTTTTCTAAGCGTAAACCATTGTATGGTGACCTTATTTATACTCACATTGATAAAAATAAATTAGTGTTTCAAAATAGCAATAAAAACTGGTATACAAATGCAGTGGCGGGGCAAGACCTAAATTTGATGTGGGCGAGATAAAATTCTGCGACGCCCTTTGGTGGCGCAGGAAGACGGGATTTTAAATAGAAAAAAAAAAAAACTTATATTTTTATTCATAAAAATGCAAACATATACCCTTTAACTAACATTATTAAGTAATAATTACTAAAGAATTAAAGATTTCCTGCTTTTAGTTTTACTGAACTCTTTAATATCTGTATAATCTAGCTTAGATGCTATATCTGCTTCAATTAATAAAATTGCCAAAGCTGAGTCTTTGCTGGCCAATTGTTTTTCTAAAATAATTTTTTATTAGTTTTAATTTTGAAAAGCTCCTTTCAGCAGAAGTGTACTTACTAATACTGTTAACAAAATTCGAATGACAATATAAATATTTGTGTAAATTTCTTTTCTATTACATATTGGAGTAGCAGTTTTATATCTTTAATTAACTCTGGTAAATTTGGATGAATTGTTTGTAATTCTTGATATAATTGCTAAGATTCGAAATCACTGCTCTCTTCCACTCGCAGTACCATACTCTAAATAATTTTGTGTGGCTTATAAAATGTTCTGTTAATATAATAATTTGATTTTTAGTTTTGGCCATTGCCTATTTTGAACTCTTTTCGTTTATAAAAAAAACTAAGTGATACCTTATAGGTATCACTATTGTAAACAAAAAATATTTGTTCAATTTCTTGTGCAAACTAATAATAACGACACAATTAAATTTTTTTTTAAATGAAAATATTTCACAAATTATCTCAAATCAAAGCTCAGAGATGCTACTTACGTCTTACACTGTTGCTAAGTCGCACAAATAGTTAACCATTCAATTATTTAGTATCAAAAATACAGCAATTCGTTTCTAATAATTTTTCTTGCTCTAATAATATTTAATAATATAACTAGTGATGTTATAAATCAATCGCGACTTTACTGCCCAGAGTCACAATCGTTGGGGAACCGTAATTTAAATATATGAAATTACATTGGTTAAGTGCTTGGGATAATGTGTTCCCGTAGATATCGTTAGAATCGCATCCCCAGGCAAGGCGGTGGGCATTAAAGTGGCCAGTTAGTAAAAATGGTTTCGGAATATTATCCAAGAAATTTATCCAATCTTGCAATTCTATCTGGGTTCTAGGTTTGATGTAAGCTGAGGCAATGTACAGGAGTTTATTATTATTTGATCGAAATACAAGTGCATTCGCTGCCTACGGGTTTTTGTATTTGTACCTCATTGTATAAAATATTTGTTTGTCATTACGGTCTGCACGGATTGTATTGAAGCCTCTAAAGTTATAATATATGCCTGGCTTGAACCAAGTTTCTGATAAAAGTGCAAGAGTTGCATTGTTTTTATAGAGAAGATATTCAAGATTTCCTTTGTTGGAAACCGCCGATCGGCAGTTCCACTGCAAAATCTTGAATTTCCCGTCTATGTCTGCGAATTTGGTAAATGTTCAGAACGTTCAGAAATATTTACATTTAATTGTGTACTAATTATTTGTTTTAAATCATTAACTGATACATTAAAGTTATTTGTTTCTCTAATTGTAAAATATTGGTTACTAATTCTAAAATTACTTTTACTAGATTATGTTCTATTTCTAGTGTTCTGTCTGCTTGTGAACTATTAATCGGTACTAAGTTTGAAATATAATTTGGGTTTCTTAAAATGCTAGATTTGTATACTGTGAAATAATTTCTCTATGTGCAATACTTGTAGGGTCAGGGCTATTTGGTATCTGCCTTTTATTACCCTTAGGTGTGATTGGTGAGTAATTAGTTTTATTATTGTGACGACTTCGGGAGGTCTGAGAACTGTTATAACTGGGGCCAGGGGTAACAATATTAAATAATTATTGGAGACATGATTATTTGTCTGTCCTGGATCCAATATTTTATTTTCTTTGTTTGAGGCGACTGTTGCATAAGAATTTCTAGGTATTTGTTTATTTGCATCGTGATAGCTTATATTTGTTGTGGACATGGAATCTTGAATTAATTTTTGTCTACTGAATTCTGGGCAAGCGCTAAGATTGTTGGTGAAATGTTCCCCGGAGCAACTGAAACATTTTGGTGATTCTGTTTCTGTACATTCATTTGAGTTGTGTTGTTCCCTACATTTGTTACACCTAGCCTTTGAATTGCACTGCTTTCCTAAATGTCCGTATCTCAGACAATTAAAACAAAGTAGTACTTCCTGTTTATATGGTTCAACTTCTTTTAAAACTTTATTAATCGTTACACATTTGGGTAGGATTTGCGATTTAAAGCTAACTATGCACGATCTTGTGGGGACAAATTCCATTTTTCCGTCATTTGTGACTTTTTTATTAATTCGTTTTACATTTAAAACTTCAAGATTACAATATCTATCATAATTTCTAATTTTATTTTTAATATATTCTTCCGAAAATTCGGGGTCTATATCACGAATAACGCCCTGTCTAGTTACTATAAATTTAGGAATGTACATTTCAATGTTAGTTTTTGTAGTCTTTTATTTTAATCCTAATTCTATTTCTACCAATCGAATCGATACTCGAAATTTTATTATCTAATTCAGGGAAATTTGTTAGAATCATCTACTATTTTTAATGCATTTATTCTACCTGTAAATTTATCTTGATTATTTTCCACATATACGTGAAATGGGCCGCTGTCGTGTTGTTTATACATAAATACCTGTTTTGGTTTTTTTCCTTCCTCTATGGTTTTGGGTATATTGTTCTCCTGTTCTTTTTTTTTTCTTTAGGTGTACTTACAGTAGAATTTTCTTGTAATATAGCTGTTCCATTTGGGGAAAATCCATTCAGTTCCATATCTTCATCCATTCTTTCTGTTAAAGGGGGCGTTATGCCGGGGTCGGGGGGTTTCCCCTCTTGTTGAACACTCATTTAATATTTTTAAAGCACTAATTTATTGATCACTAAGAATTTTTTACGTGTATTTAACACTTTACCGGTATCCTTAAATTTCTCGATTATTTCGGCTACGTATTTACCTATACCAAACTTTTAAAATCTCCAAATTTAAAACTTTTTTGCAGGCAAGCCTATACGATTATTTTCATAATTAAATTATCTTCCTTCTGATATCAATTTTTATTGGTTGACATATTGGTGTAGTCACCTATATTGACTTACCTGTTCATACCTGCTTGCTGGTAGCCATGAACAGAAATAAGTAAACAAACCTACTGACGCATATTTTCCATGTTAAAAACTATCTGTTAAAATTAAATTGTTTGGTTATCAAAAAAGTGAAGGTTATAAAAAAATTTGAATAAAATTTATTTAATTGAAAATAGCCATGAACACTTTTCGAATGGCAAGTTCCCATAGGCGTGTTAATAAATCAATAAAATTTTATAAAAAAAAAATGCCTCATCTGGTTATCAGATGGGTGGAGGTCGACCTCCCACAGTCTCTTAGACTACTATGAAAGATGCATTTTGCTCTTCAGATATGCTAGTACACTATGAAAGATGCATTTTGCTCTTCAGATATGCTAGTACACTATGAAAGATGCATTTTGCTCTTCAGATATGCTAGTACACTGCAATCCCGAACTGGAACTAATCTTAACAGTGGAAAGTTCCGATTATGGAATTGGTGCTGTAATTTTGTACGTGTTTGAAAATGGAATCGAGCGCCCAATTTATTATGCCTTAAGAACTCTGTCAAATGCAGAAAAAAATTATTCAAATTTGACAAAAAAGCAGCTGCGATTATTTGAGCGTGAAATATTTTTACCAATACCTTTATGGTAGCAAATTTATTTTAAATACCGATAACAAGGCACTAGTAACTATTTTTACAAACCTTTTGTGCCTGAACCACCATACTTTTGTCCTTAGAACCAGAAAATCTATTACTTGCTCTTTATGATCAGATATATCCAAATCGACAACATCTGAGCACAGAACCTCGGTCATAATATTAACAAAGATGTTTCCTCACAGATAGTTCTGTGCAAATCGAAACCACCCAGGGTGTCCTCCAGATGCTGGGCATTTGCCTGGTTCTCGCCGAAATGTACGTTAACCTGCCACCATAATACTCTTGTTCGGACCAAGAGATGCTATGATACCCTCCAAAGAGCCCAAGGTGTCGAAACAGCCTGAAGGGTGTCTATATAAAAGTTAAAAATTTGAAAATACAAGACTACACATTATTTAATATTGAAATTCACAAATACATTCTTAAAACTAGACCCTAGACTATTTTTAACAATTAATACTGTGCACCCTCCGGGAAATTGAGACCTTGCAAGAAAACCTCCGATCGCATGCCCATCTAGATGAAATGCCTCTAGTTCTACCTGTGTCATCCAGTGTTCTGTGATGCAAATTAGGTCAATATCATTTTCTGTGATGAATGCCTCTAGTTAAAGTATTTTATTCCTTAATGATTGGATATTCACATGCAGAATCCTTTAACATCTTGATGTTCTGTGCTCCTCTGTACTGATATTCTCTGGTGTTTCACCCCTATCGGACGCTGGACATTGAGAAAATGGTTAACAATTGTACCTTTTGGCCACATTTTTGCTTTTAGGTATAATTCTCGATCATAGTATGTTACAGCTAATTTGAAGGAGCCAAAATGTTTTGCCATTTTTGGTTTTCATTATTGTACTGCTGCATCCTTTCAGGGTCCTTTTAGATAAGTAGCTTTCTGCATTTTCCGGAATCACCGCGGGTTCAAGGCCCGATAGAAAGAGGAATGATATTTTTGTGCCGTCTTGATCGTTGGTTCTTCATTGCTGGAGCCCCTTATTGGTTCAGGGCGGGTATTTTTAATAGGGTTACTTTTTGTCAGATTTTAATTTTGTTTCTATAAATTTATTAAAGGAAAATAGTAAAATTAGTCAAAATTGTGGGCGTTTTAGGTTCATTTGACCTACTTACGGAAGGACTTTTACTTTTAAGGATTTAGGCACATGAAAGAGTAGATACATTTTTCTTTTCCTTGTTCTCTTTTCCCTTGGATCACGTGACTTTGTTTACCTTCAGCTCTCAGCGTTTCTTCCAAAAAACTTATATTTTCCTTTAGGAGAACAACATGTTCTTCCAAGATTTGGTTTTTACTTTGTAGCTCCTGAATCAGAATTTTCAAAACTTTGGACTCGTCTCGGTCCTTATTTGAGATTATCTGCTTCTGTGCTTTCGTGAACACAAACTGCATTTTTTTTATTTGCTGCTTAGCGCATACAGGCTGGGTGGAAAATATTTCTTACACGTAACATCACTTTCCACTTTTTTGTTGCAGTGAAAACATTGTTTTTTGAGATTTTTTGAATTATCGGAATGCAGTGTGTCACCGCCCGCCATCTTAATACACGTCATTACTGTCATCTGTATATGAACACAAAAAAAAACAATAGGTCTATTTCTAATAATTCTAATGTTTTTTTTTTTTTTAATTACATCTAGGTGTTAAAATTCCGTGAAATTGGGACTGGCAAATCCAAGAAGATAGCCAAAAGAATGGCTGCTCACAAGATGTGGCAGGCATTGCAAGATCTGCCATTAGAAGGCAATAATCTTCCTACTACTTTTGGGAGTGACGAGGATGTAAGTATTATCTAATTTGTAAACTTAAGTTAACATATCGTTTGTGAGTTGTACATAAATAAAAAAAATAATCAGAAACCTTAAATTTTTGAACTTATAGTAGAATCCGGATATAACTACGATCAAGGGACCGACGTATTACGTCGTACTAACCGGACGACGCACAAAACGACGTGATAATAAATAAAACAAATATGCCACCGAACTCATTTTAACTGACGCAACGAGTCCTTAAACTTATCACAATAGTTGAAAAACACTGACTCTAAGTTAAACGCGCTAATGAATGCCTGGAAGCGGGGCGGCGAGGTATTGTTTGCGCGTCGTTCTAACTGGACGATTTATTGTCAAAATAGGTCGCTACAAGCAGTTCGTCACTTAAACTGGAGTCCGGAGTCGTCCGTCCGTTCTATAAGGATGTTTTCATATTACGTCTAAATGAAACCTAACTTGAATTTGCATTTTCGTCGCTAAAAATGGTTAGTTGTTAATAAGAAGTCATATTCTGATTCTACTGTATACAGTGTGTTGACTTAAGTTGGAACCATATGGAAAACATTTTTATTATTGATTTTAGGAAAAAAGTTATTCTTGATAAAAAGTCCTGCATGACCCAAAACTTAAAATACAGTCATCAGATATCAAATTTTTCAAGCCGTATACGAGGTTTGTCAAAAAATATGAATTTTGCTCAAGAGTAAAGTACGTTTATTTTTTTACAAATTCGAACATTTTCATAACTTTTTTTCCTAAAATCAATAATAAAAATGTTTTCCATATGGTTCCAACTTAAGTAGACACACTGTATATACGTGTTTCCAGAACGAGTGGAAGAGGGAAACTTTTTATTTATGGGTTTACGAATAAAAGTTACTTTTATTCAAATGACCAAAAACCATTACATTTGCATTAGTTAACGTGTCAAAATTCTGAATAACCTATATTTATTTTAACAAACGCCATGCTATTTGGTAACGTGAACACAAGCAGGAGGCTTTATGAAGTATAATCAGCAATAAAAAGTTCTTTTCTTTGGAACCTAATCTACAGAAACTACATTATATTCATAATTTATTTTAATGATTTTAAATTGTGCTACGGTAATTTTACTGTCTTTCAGTACTTGTATAAATTATTATTTTGCTATAGATATTTTTTCTAAATTATAAAAAATAACATACAGAATTGAAATGATTGTTCTGCATTAGCCTACAGGTTTTTTGTTTTGAAAGAAAGTAAAAATTATCTTAGCACACTCTCATTTCAATTTTGTGTTTTATTTTTTAGTTGGCCAATAAACTAGGCAACATTCAGACCCGCTACAATGGACTGAAAGACACTAAAATTACGAAACTAGGCAACCAACAGTCACATAAAGTATCGCAATTCCACAAGGCTTTGAAAAATTCTTCTGGCAAGAAGTTGGCCGATCTACAGGTACATAATTTTAACAGTAATAATTGTTTTTAAATATACTAATTTTATTTTCACAATGTTTAAAAAATATATTTGAGTTTATAATGATTCAACAATACCCCTATCCCACGGAATCTGGTTAAACAAGAACTCTAATGGAAATTGCCGTCCTTGGTGTCATTTATGACAGCTTAAGTGTCGCTTCTGTCAATTACATCAGTGACATTGTTTTAGGATTACTGCTAAAGTTATTAATGTTAGTTTTAGCCAACTGATGATATCAATTTGGTCACGTGGAGTACGGGTATTGTTCTGTACAATTTAAACCAATATTTAGATCTACGATATGTGGGATATTTCTGTCGAACGTGGTATATTAGTATAATTTGATATTGAATGGTTCTATCTAAGGTTTTAGACAGTGCAGAATTTTTTTATAAAGAATATATACAGGGTGGCTCACGCTCAACGGGACGGAGCTTTATGGGAAAACGACCAAAGATATAAAAAATTCGTTTGGGAGGAATACGTAGGTTACAGACGGCTACAATTTAAAATTTGTTAGATGTATACAGGATGTCCCACATAAGAAAACAAAAATTAGTTCATTAAAAATTATTCAAACAAGAGTAAACAATTAATATCTGGGAGACTTTTTTTCCTTAAAAATTCAAATAAATCGAAAACTAATAATAATAGTAATAGGGAACCTTTAGTTAACTGACATTATTTTTGATGTAGTTTTTAATTCTAAAATAAAAAACAGGGTGTTCCATTAAAAATAATATAACTTTGTATATTTTCTCTTATGTGGGACATCCTGTATACATTAACAAATTTTAAATTGTAGCTGTCTGTAACCCACGTATTCCTCCCAAACGAATTTTTTATATCTTTGGTCGTTTTCCCATAAAGCTCCGTCCCGTTGAGCGTGAGCCACCCTGTATATATATATTTTTCCAAAATAAATTGGCTGACAACTATTATTACTCTACCATCAAACAAATGCAATTAGAGGTAATGGATTATCTCGATAAGCGATGCAACACTGCACTAATTTACAAACTCAGATCTATTAACATTTCTAAAGCAGTCGGCATTTATATTCGAAGCAGCGTATGGTAAACATTGTATCTACTTTCTATTTAAATTAAACGCAAGTTCCACATAAACAAAATAGCCGCTAGACCAAAGCACATTCAGCTAGAGGGTAGAGAAACATTCAAAACCGAATCACTGGGCTGGCCAATAGCAGTCGGGCTTGTGCGTATCATGCTGTGGTCAAGGGGCTATTTTGTTTATGCGGAATTTTTAAGTTAAGTAAAGATTAGACTCTTTTTCATATAGTCCAGTGAAGTTTGTATTTTTCGTATTAGTTTATTGTTTTATATTTAGGTAAGATACCTAATTACTTTTATGATTAAATTGGTTAGTTAATGGAATAATATTTTAGCTAGTGAGCTGTTTCCTTAAAAGAAACGTGAATAAATTTGGTTAAATTATCATTATCAAATATGAGTAATATCAAGAAAGTTGTTCACAGCCTTAGATAAAAGAGACCGGAGATGTAACATTGCACATTGCGCATGTTGTCTATTCCAAACCTAAGTAACCCACCAATTAAAAATCATTGTGTTCACGACGCCACCCGTTTTGCTCCGAAATTTCTATTCTTTGCTTGTCTCCGCGTGAGTAAATCATTTATGGACCGCCGTTTTTGAATTATTTGTTGGTATTAGCAATTTAAAGTGTTTTAGTTATTCAATTTCAAGTTGAAAATGCCACAATGTATGGTGAAAAATTGTATATACAAATAATATGTGTCAATGTTATGAAAAATAAGAAATATATTCGTTTTCAGCGGTAAATATTTGTTGACGTTTTGACATAAAGTCGCCATGATTTTTTGAGCTGAATACTTCAGATCCGCATTAAAGGGTTTCAATAAATATTTAATCTAAATAAGAAGTAAATAGGCATTGTTACTAACGAAATTTTGTTTTTAAAAAGTAGTTTTATAAGAATATTTACTAAAAGTGGTTTTTAGCCCTTTATTAGATATTTTTACAAGAATATTAGATGAAATACAGGTTCACCTACTTAAAATTTCAAGGTTTATTTTATTTGCGGTTAAATCGAAAGTGACATTTGAATCTTAAAACAAAGTAAAACGCGCAATATGATCTAGTATAAGCAAAAAATACTAAAGTTACGGAAATTAGTCATATTATTAGTAAAATGTTACATTATAAACTCGAAAAATATCTTCGTTTACTAAAAAAATCTAAATTCTAGCAATATTTATTATACAATCGAATGCGGTTTCAAAGATAACAGGATCAATAAATCCGAATCTCTAAATTTTGGAGCTAAATGCTCTGATAAGAGCATGCGACCGATAGGGGTTACAAAAATAATCGATTTATCGTTTTCATGAAAATCGATTTATCCGTTATAATTAATCGATTATCTTTAATAGATTATTTTTGATTAATCGAACATTTTTAATAAATTTTTTTCGTTTTTTTGGGTAATGGAATAATCGATTATAAAGGAATTACAAAAAGAAAGTAGATTTATTCAAAATATTCGATTTATTGAAAATAATCGATTTATTGAAAATAATCGATTTTTTAGAAAAATCGATTTATTGTTTAATAGACTTTTTAAATTAATCGATTATTTTCGATTAATCGATTATTTTAGATTAATCGATTATTTTCGATTTTTCTAAGGTATTCGAATAATTTGTATTAAAATACAAAAAATAGATTATATAAAAATAATCGATTGATCGAATATAATCGGTTATATTATATAATCGATATTTCGGTTATTTTTTAGAATTATTGATTTATCGGTAAATCAGCTTTTTATTAATCAATTATTTTCGATTTTTCAAAGAAAATTAAATAATCATTTTAAAAGGAATATAAAAAAAGAAAAGGATTATTTGTAAATAATCAATAATTATTCAGTTATTTTCCGTTAATCGATTATTTTCGATGTGTCAAAAATGATCGAATAATTGATTTTAAAGGAAATAATTCTTTTTTTTTTTTTTTTTTTTTTTAAATCGATTTATCGTTTATTCGACTTTTTAATTAATCGATTATTTTAGATTTTTCAAAGATTATCGAATAATCTGTTTCGATGGAAATACGAAAAAAAAAAATAGAAATTAAAAATAATCGATTATTTAAAATAAACGATAATTCATTTAATATCTTTTGTAAACACTGATTTATCGGTTAATTGGCTTTTTAATTAATCTATTTTTTTTTTTTATTTTTTAAAGATAATCAAGTGGTCTATTTTAAAGGAAATACGAACAAAAATAGATTGTTTGAAAATAATCGATTGATCGAAAATAATCGATTATTATTAATGATCAATAATTTATTTCGATAATCACCCACTCCTAGCGACCAAATGACTTTTAATAGGTTTAAATTTTAAAATGTTATCTGGTTTCAGACATATACATTTCTAGAGTTTTATGTGACGCATCCTCTATATTAATTAATATTCCTAAAGAAACAAGCTTTAATATATCTTTTTCTGAGGTTATAATACAAAACAGCATTTTCTCATTTTGACTAAATTTTAATATTATGTGATAGTCGTAGAAAAAATATAATGTTCAACTCACAAGGTTTGATTTGCAGTATTCGCCTGCGCACATGCTTTTTTATAATACTCTTAGACAATAAGTACCATTTCTTACTCGATTAACAATATTCTATTTCAACATTTTACTGTAGTCTCCTACAGAAAAGTCCATAGTAAATAATAGCTAACGAAATATTCTATAAAAGGTCTTCTCTTTACATAAAATGTCGTGGCATCTGTTTGATATTAAAAAATCACGTTAAATTTATTTCATAATACAAAATTCCATTAAACGTATATTTTAAATAAATCTAATAGTTCATTATGATGCTAATAAACAAAGTCCGGTCCCTGTCACAGAGTTCGAGTCCCTGCCCAGTTCCGTTAACCTTTCTTTAGAAATTGGCAACATTTGCGCAAGTTAAACACCAGTGTATGTTATATCTCTGGTCTCTTTTATCTAAGTTCACAGCCAAGATCGCGAAATAATTTCTAATGTATGAGGATAGTTCACGAATTATTATCCCTAACATAGATGCAAACACATGAGAAAAATTAAACTAGTTTATATTTCAACATAGTCACCTAAAACGTTTATACACTTGGTAGGTATAGTATTTTTAATACAAATCCCGATAAGCTGTAGACATATTGCAAGTCATGGAAAATAAGAACTAAGTATATTGCAGATGGATCAAAATTGGTCCAGAATTAGCACAGAAAGTATCTGAAACTAATTCAATTTCACCAAGAAAGTTATTTAACAGAACTGCACTTAAGTTATAAACCACAACACCCCATAAAATAAAATTAAAGAGATCATTAAAAAAAATGAAAACTACAAAGGCACGTGGAGGAATCATAATATAAGTAGAGAGTAGATACCTATACTTAAAGAATTAAAGTTTGAAATTGCCAAAATATTTGAATACAAGAAGGAACTTGTTAAAATATTTGAGTAGGTACTATAGTAAATCTCACTTTTAGTAACGGTTCTGTATCTCAAGTATTCAGCCAGAAGTGCTTTAAAAAAAACGAAAATTAATATTTTGGCACTTAGATCACTTAACAAGACTACTATACTATATTTCTAATAATTTTTAACTTACGTCTCATATAGCACTTAACAGAGTTGAAGGTAATGGTGATGAATCATTCATCACGCTCTCGTTCAAAATACTGTATTAACGAAGCTACAAGCTCCTTACAACGACTATTTAGTTTTTTGGCATTTCGTATGTAGAAATAAAAGAAATAATCAGTTTTTTTTTTTCAATGTTCAAAAATTTTATTACTCTTTATTGGAGCAAATATTTTCTAAACTCCTCTAAAAACAACTCGTTAATTTTATGTCATACCAATTATGTTGATTTTGTTTACGGACCCTGTTCAGATGTAGACTCGTTGAC